GTTTACTTCACTTCGGAACATGGGCTGGAATTGAGAACCGCTGATGTAGCCTATTGTAGTAATGTTGTCTCTGGTATTCTGGTCTGTGGGCGTATGTGCGTTCAGGGGGCGTGGCTTTAGACAGCGATTGCAGGGAGGGTGGGACGTTCGCTTTCAGTGCTATCAGGCTAAAGTTAGCGTTTTCCGAGATCTCCTACTGCACCTTTAATATTAATCAAAATAGTTATTTTCCCAAAGACAAAAACTGACATTCATACAAACTAAAAAGATATTATATATATATATATATATATATATATATGTATATAATATCATACCAGTTAATCAAAAATGTTACTAATGTAGGTCAATATATATTTTTTTTCTTTTAACAACTTAATTTTATCAAGCAAAAGTTAAATGATCTATAAAGTAGAATGTTGACTTAAGATAAAACTGAAAATATTTAGTTAATGTTTAATTTAGTTTATGAATAAAACAGGATTATTCATCAAACACCAAAACATTTATAAAATTCACAATAATTTCTGCAGTCAGTAAAGCTAACCAGTGTTCTGCACATTAAAATACTCATTTCTTTTAATTTTGTATATAGCGAGTGTCGCTTTTAGCCAAACTGAACACAACCAGAAACAATGTATTTCGATTAGACCAATATAAAAATGCACTCAAATTCACTTTGTAGAACAATGCTACTTCAACAATCTACCATTATCCTTAATGTTAGATGCTATTAAAGTCTAAGAGGTCAACGTTCAATTAAAACCTCACAAGAATCCATAAGACATGCCATTTCTAACCTGATAATGAAAATCTGATACTTAGTGATCGACACTGATCCCCTTGAAGGAAAGAAAAACTCTCCAGGTTAAGAGGCAGTAAACACACACATACACACGCAATGTAACTGTGATACACACTACAACAATCACACCTCATTTAGGCTATTCAACAGCAACCAAAGTGCAAGGGGAAAAAAAAGAGAATATCTCTAAGAGCTTCCTTTAGTACTGTGAAAACACGGAACACAATTAAACCGAAAAAGGGTAAAGATGACATAAACTTAAAGCAAGAATGATGAAGAAAAGGAGAATAGGAACTGATGGTACCAATCTTTTCCAAAGGCCTACAGCATGTGATAAAAAAGATAATTTAAAGAAGAAAGTCAATGTTAAAGCCCAGTACTTCAAACAACCTGAGAAATTAGTGCATTGCGGAAATGGATGAATCAAAAGAGAGGAGAGACAGCAGTGAGACAGCAATGTTGAAGAGAGACTGATATACAGAGAAAGGGAAAAGAGAGAGATTCACACTGGAACGAATCAAGGCACTCACTTCAAATGAAGCTGCTGAGGAAATATAGGTCACACATCTCCAGTGGCTAATTTTCTCAGAACCATGCAGCGACACAGAACCACAGAGAGCGTGAGAGGACACACAATTCATGTCACCATGAGGAGGAAAGGATGCTAACACGAATTCTGCTCTGACCTGGGATGCATGTAATAAAGGATGATACAGATTTCTCAACTGACACATCAAATGAACTTTGTCAGCAAATCACGTAACATTTCTCACATCTTTATTCATCAAAAACTTCACAAGAACATCACAAGAATACAAATTATTATTAATCCACCAACAGTGTTAAACAAAACTAGATTATTAGGTGTTGGTGGATGTCAAAGATAATCTAAATTCAAAAATGAGCATGCAATAAAAATGCATTACTGGCCAATAGAGATAAAAATAAAATTCTGGTAATATGGTACCAATACTGTATAACATGAGTTCCTATATATTAGATTTCCTATACTAGAATTCTACAGTTAGCTAAAAGCCAATAGCCATAAAAATGTAAATTGTGTATGCCAACATCCTTTCCATTCGATAGTCATTTCCAGATAGTCGATGTTTGTTATGTTAGATTTCTTCTTTTATTAGTTATTTTCTTCAATCTTTCAGCACTCTTTTCTCTGACTTCCTGTCCTTTTTCTACTTTTCCCCCCAGCATATCTTTATAAATAGGTCTATGTGTTTGGTGAGAGACATTTTGGGTTGGCACTCTCCAGTTGCCATTGCTTCAGATTGTGGACATGCCATAGTGGCACAATTACATCTGCAAGCATTTTTGCAAGTAGTATTATTAGTTAAATTATATTAAGTGCACACAGACACAAAAAGACTATAAAGGAATTATATTAAAGCCAGAATCTGACCTGAAAAATCGACAAATCACTCTCTTTTTGTTTTCTCTTCAAACGTCTAGATTACAGTTTCCACAGCTCTGGCTCAGAAATGGTGTGTGTGTGTGTGTGTGTGTAAATCAACATAAAATGAGTTATATTAAAAATACAACAAAATTAAAATTGAATGAAAATGTAAATTGTAAAACTATGTTAAAACTATTCATAATATTTTTTTGCTTCAGTTATTAAAAACCCATCCAAACCATTACATTTTATATAAAATAAACCAACACACACACACACACTTAATCAGACACTCTTTTCAGTATTGAGTGTTGTGTGCATATCCTCTCTAACATTTATCATTTTAGGATTTACAGTTATTCTCACATAGTTTAAATTTCATCACGGTCAAGAATGAGTGCCATCAAGGTCAAGGTTGGGTTTGCAAAATTGGCTGATTGTGACCACAGGATGCCCGATTGGGAAAAAATCTGTGGCTGTTAATTTAGCTGTTACATCCCAAACCATTTTAAAAAAGGTGTTTTTGAATAAAACAGTGCTCCAATTAGATATGCTTTATTAGTACTTACAATTTTCTGTATGTGTTCAAATAGACAGAGTTTGAGGATATGTTTTTTGAACTGAGATTTTAAAAAGTGGTGCATAAAAATAGAACCTCCTGTAAAGATGTAGGCCTTCACGTCCAATTCTCATCTGAACAGAGCTATTATATGGTCAGCACTAATACTTATATATAATCTCTGGCCTACATTAGAAAATTGTCTAGAAAGTAAGTGGGTCCACGACATAATTAGCCTAAGATTTTGTAATATTTTTACAACAATGACACATCTCATAACCCGTCTTAATAAACATTTTGTTTTTTCTATAAAATATCAGTCCTTTTTTTTTTTTTAAATCTAGTTAATTCCAAACCACATGCTTAAGATTCTAAAATGTAATACCCAGCACTAGAACCATGGGGTGACCCAGTAACATGCCTCTATTCCAATGTTGCTGTGGGGACTGGAGGTGTGGACTGTTGAGTCACCAAAATGATAACCTGAACTGTCACCACAGAGCAGACAGCAGAGAAATGGGTGCTAAAGGAGAGACAGAAAGAAAGAGGGAGAATAAAATGGGAACGAGAGCAGTTTGTGCATGTGTGTTGTGCTTTAAATGGTCACTGAGCTTTCAGGATCTCAAGAAACACCCCTGGGCTCCTGGGCAATGACACATTAGGATGCTGGGCAGAGATAAGGGTATTAGTGTAAGGGTCAAGTCTTGATTTTTTATGGGGACTTATGTGCTCCACTGCATCTTACACGTATTATTACCCCATTTAAAAGGGTAAGCATTACACAACTCTTTTGGGGGAAAGTTTGACCTCTGACCCCTACATTAACACTGACTAAGGCAAGCAATTCACTAAAAACCACTCAAAACACCTAAGAAACTGCATTGGAACCACCTGCCTACCACCTACAACTCCCATCTTAGCAGCCAAATTTTATGGACAAGAACCAGCTATCTAGTCATACTGATTCTAGCTGATGCATCACAAGCATCCTAGTTATCTGAACCACTTGGAAAGACCAGCAATTAGAATCCACATACAGAGACAGATTTCACTGTAAAGGATAAATGTCTTAATGAGGATGCTATAATTCAGTATTAGATAAAATGCAGGTGTTTTGTGTGCAAAGAGAGTGTGATTTTAACACAGAGAGAGGAGCAATGACCTAATCATCCAATCAAGTAGGATTTGGGCATCTAATTGTACTATAAAATGAAAGAGATAAGCGAGAGAAGCAGACATAAAAATGAAACAAATGGATGAAAAACCTGCTGTGAGGCCTGTCCTGCAGAATACAGATCAGGTAAACAAAACCACCAATGCATTCAGGGTGAAAGGTTCATTAGGACCCTTGCATATATGTTCCTATCAGACTGAAGGTGAATGCTCTGAATATGGAAATCATCTCAGTTATGCCCGGACAGCCTTGACAACACAGTCAGGCGCTGCTTTTTGGAATCAGAGACATTTAATCTCATTCATAACAAATAGTGTAGATGCATGAAACCATTTGTAAAACCTTGCATAGCACCCTTGCAGAAACATCATATCAGAGACCCCGCCTCTGCTTCAATGCGCGAGCCCCTTCCCCCTCACGCGCGCCACAGCCCAGGCGAGCGCGAGACACCGATGCACGCGACATCACCATAAACTACTGTCAACGTGTCAAATAACGCACTGGCTCTTTTTAATAAAGCACTTGAAAATGATCAACAGTAAACCGACTGTATGGCAACAGAATGACACCGTTATAGGAAGACAGCATTACAAGCAACATCCTGGGGAACAGCCAATGAGAATTATCCACCGGTTTTTACATCATAAGACTATTGGGGAATTATTTCACACATACAGCGCACAATCTATTGTTTTTGCATTGCACATAAAGCACAACAGATGAAATGACACGTTCCCTCGTTAGAAAATGAGCCCACCTCTGCGAAGAAGGTCTCCATCTTCCCTCAAAGGCTGCAAGAGGATCCAGCTAATCAATCACAGAACTGCAGAGGATTCAAGAAACGTTTGACAAGATGTATGTCTGCTCTGCAACTGCTTTCCATTCACGAATGTTTACGAAGAGCAGGGCGCCGCAATGCTGCGTGAGGTGGCAATTCAAACAACTGATGGCGCGACAAGCGGCCGTTGGCAAATAACAGCCGATGGGAAAAGAAAACGCTCAGGTGTTTGGTTTCTGTAAGTGTCTTTTTTATTTAATCGAAACGCCGGTGTCCAAACACATGCCTCGCTGACTCCGGTGTCTGCACCAGAGCGAATGAGCCAGTGTACGCTCGTGCATCTCCGGTTGGGCGGCGCACCGCGCGCAAAGACAGCCCCCCCAAGTTCACCTTTTTTTTTTACCATGCATACCGGTAGTAAGATGACAGAAATGTGCATTCGCGGAAATAAACATGACATATATTTCAGCTACATTCTGAATCTACAATAAAGCAAAATAGTATCTGATAATCAGTGCGTTGGGATGCGTCAAGCGTGACACACAATATGAAACACGAATGCGGTATGTATCTTAAATACAGTGTACTATTTAGCAAGATTCCATTATCTGAATGATCTGATCTGAAATCCCATGTGCTGGATGTGGTACTGATGCCCCTCTGATGGGTTTCCATGGTAGCACTACTGACATATTTCTGCATGCGCCATGCACATCTGAAGTGAGACTCATGCAGTGGGTGGAGTAGAGCAGATTCACTCATCAATACACATTTATAGAAGGTGTCGCAGTGTCTGCAGGCTTATTACTCCGAAAAACAAGTTCATATCTGCAACATCTTGAAACTGCATAAAGTGGCAGTTTGGTTACTCTCTGCATGAAAGTTAAATAAAGCAGATGGTGGATGTATTAAATCATTAAACTCTTATCTCTCACAGCTTGAGAAACAAAAATTGTAATCCGGATTCTGTAACCAGCACAGAACAGACATTAGTGAGCTAAGAAGAACTGTCAAATTGTTTAGTGTCAGTGACAAATAAGGATGTCCAAGATGACATTTTTTTTCAACTATTTTAAAATGCACATGCATATTAAAAAGTTTTGTACATGTACATGTAAGTGCATGTAATCATTGGTTTAATAAAAAAAAGCTTTTGAAACATTTTACAATATAAAAAGCATCATATAACTAACTCTATCATTAAATGGCAATATGATTTTAAGAGACTTGAACACATAGTGAACACAGTGCTTTTTTAAAACATGTTTATAATAGACAAAATGTGTTCTAGTATCTTGGTATAATGTGTTTAGTGTGTTTTTTAATGAATGTTTAGGTACAAGCACAAAAAAAATTCAGTTAAGGGACACAAAGAGCAGGTTTTCCTGTTGAGTTACGAGCCATTTGACTGACACTTTTCATTCAACACCTAATAGCACACTAACTGCAGGAACAGCTTCCCTGGAGCAATGTGGCACTGCATGTCATTCCCAGATGTAAAATACTAAATTTATTGAGTGTTATGATGAGCACTGGGTTACAACTTCCAGGTAATGAACTTATGACATTTGTGCCAGACTTTAACTGTTCATGTACTGTTTCTGCCAGGGGTTTTCAACAGCTTATTTTTCTTAAATTATGGGGTTCTACATATATACACAGACAATCTTTTTTCTTTTGGTCCAAATGAACATCTTTGAATACTTTAATTATTTTTCCTTACCCTATTTGAATATGTGTCTTTAGACTACTAAAATTCAGTGCCTGCAGCTAAATGTAACTTGTAACTGTTCGACTGGCTAAAAAAATCAACAGTTTCAGATTCAGAAGGTGTCAGATGAGAAAAGTCTCAGATGATATTCATGACACGCAAGTATGCCTCATCAACAGTACAAAAAAGTATTAAGTATGATTTATACATTGTAGTATGTGTGCTCGAGTCAGATGTACACTAAAGATTGATGTCTGTATCATCTGACAAACAGAAGCTGTGAAGACAACAATGTGAAATCCCTGTGGTCACATACATCACCATCAATGAAAGCCATGCTCATTTTACATCCACATGGTTCCCCCTCCACTATCATCACTCTCCCACTGTGACAACTCAATTCAACATGAAAAGGCTTCACTTCTTAATCATTCACCTGATGCTTTGCTTTCAACAAGCATGTGTTGCATGATGCTCATAAAGTCCACTAAAACAGTAAAACGATAAAGCCACAAACTGGGGAGCAAGATCCAGTTGATAGTGCTCCAGGCTTAACTCAGATGAGCAAGAGACAGAGAAAAGTAGTAAACTGAGAGCCGTATCCCAAAAGTGTACTTTGGAATCAAATGTCATTTTAATGTGACATCAATCGGACTCTCTGGGTGATGTCACTGTAAGTGGATAGACAGATGAGAAAAATTTGATACACTAAATAACAAGCCCTGCGGTTGGACCATCACAGATGTTCTACCGAACTGGATTTGTGTAATAGGACCAGATCACATTGTGGGACTAAATTGGCCCACTTTCTAGTATTATAAAAGTATACTTTAAGTATAACAGTAGTAAACTTTGAGTACATAACTAGTTTACATCAATATTTTAGCTTGTACTGGAACTATACTAAAAGTGAACTTATAAGTATACTGATAGTTTACTAATTAAATACTTGTAGTAGCATTTTAGTACACTTTGAAGTATAGTCTCAGTAAACTACTAGTTTAGTAGTTTTATACTGCAAGTATACTCGTAAGTTTTCTTTAAGTGAACTTTACATCATACTTTAAGTATACTACTATGTCCCTATTTAGGTCTTAATTTGTATATATTTTGTTACATGAATATCTGAACATACAAAACATCAAAAGAACAGGGTCTCTGCTTGTAAACAAAAACATTTTATTCTAGCTTCATGCATTCTTTTTTTAAACACTTGAATGTGGATAAGTTTCATAAATAAAAATTAAAGAAATAAACAACATTTTGAACAAAAAGCTGAAAAAAGACTATGAATTGGATTCAGAACGATAATCAAAACGTAGAGTTGATCAACACCCCAAAGCTTGACAGTCATTATTACCTCTTCATTGGTCGACATTTTATTCCATAATGTTACATAGTTTTGATGCTGTTTTATGTCTGATGATCGTGTTAGATTACATGTGGAAGCATCTGTTGTTTCGGTTTCTTCTTCACTTGTGTTTTTTGGAAATTCTGTACAGAAAATGTGTACTAGCGCCACCTACCGTATAACAATGAAAACACGGATTCTAGGAGCACAATTATAGCTAAAAATATATTTAGACTTTTTCTAAGTATAAGTCAAGTATACTTAAATGTCATTTTAAGTATATTTCTGAGAAGAACATAAAGCCCATTTCTGAGAAGTACAGAAATAGTAGACTAAAAGTATACTTTCCTATTTTTTAGTTTAAAAGAAGTATACTAATAGCACACTTGAATAAACTTCTTTTTCGTAAGGGCAGCCACAATCTTTTCTGCTCTCTTAAAATCCATTCAGGCTTGAACCTTCTCACTTGAAAATGCCCTCTCCTTTCGGCAGCCCGACGTTTTAGTGCTGAATCAGAAAGTAGTAAAGAAAAACTTGTCGATACTGTTGTTATCATTTGGTGAGAAACAAACAGATTAGTGTCAATCAAAGACACTAGCCAATAGCCATCACCATAAATCCCTCTGATTCAGTGAATAAACAGAGGCCTTCGTGTAATGGGATTTTCCTTGATTTGTCTACGGCAGAATAGGAACAGATTATAATCTTACTGCACCCCTTGTAATATAATATCGCTCTCACTCTCCTAGTTCTGTTCAAAAATTGAAATAGCAATGCACACAATTCTGCAGGTTTGTTTTTGTTTAATTACCTAAAATCAGTTGCCTGCAGATCTGTTTATCTCCCTGTGACAATGGTCAAAAAAGACACATTCAGGTATAGGTTTAGACAGAGCACTCTCATGTACATTCATTCCACATGAGAGTACACGAGAGTAAGCGGCTATCATTTAAGCATCAGAGTCAAGTCTGATAATTCCCACTTCTCATAGTGGAATAGATTTGAAAGCAAAAGCACATTATTTGTGTTTAAAAAAGGTGATTTGAGAAATATTTTAAAAATAAACATTCAATACAGACTATACACACATTTCATCTTTCATCACTTGAAAAAAAAAATTTTTTTTTTCGGATTTGTTCAGATTTTCAGAGTTCAGAGTTTGTTCAGATCCATATCCCAAAGTATAAGTAGTAATAATAGTGACAACTGCTTTGCCAAGCACCACTGACAAGGAAAGTTCTGATATTTTGATGGAAATGTAGACATTTTAGAGAAATAGCCAGTGCACTTCTTCACCATTGATCTCGGATAAATCAATAGCCATTATTGAGCTAGACAGCCACGAGACTGTAAATGCTACAGTTAAGTGCTGGGTGTTGTGTCTGGTTCTGCAATAGACAGAGAGGGTGTATTTTATGATGTCAGAAATCATTTTTATTGATCGCCACATGGTGAGTTTGTAAAAAAACCTGCAATGCTTTTAGATTTGTTTCATTTTACCTTAAAACTTACCTTCTTGTAAATAAATAAAGTGCAATGGTTATGCATTGCCATGCCTTTCATTTACTTCATATACTTAATAACACTCAACACTAAAACATCAATACAAAGTATTTCTTGCACATGCATAAAAGATAAAAAACTCTATTCTCAATTCTAGCTTGCGCTAAAGTGTACAGTATGTGTGTGATCTAAAACTAAAACTGGTCCACAGGAAGAACATCCTTGGGAAAATGAATATGTTTATTGTGTTTACAGGGAGCTATGAGGAAGGAATCAAGTTGAGAGTCCTTGGATCATCACAGGACTTAAGATGATTGTGAACAGAAAGTGAGTGGATTTATGATTTAATTAATTTATGAAGCACTATGACCAAGACAGAGAGTGTGTGATTCAGGTGCGGAAAAAAAATCAGCAACAAACCTCTAATCTGTGTATTTACTGGACTGTTAGAATGCATTACCAAGGATCTGCCATTAAAGATGTTGCTTCTATGCAGAGTCAAACTGTAATAAACCACCCTGAAAGACAAAAACACACACTTCAGTACAGCTATCTTCACTTCATTCCCATGCCAAATCCAAGATTATCCAATCTTTCAAATTTATTACAAAAAGAGGAATCTGCCCGCCAGCATACACTCTCTTCTGTTATCCCTCAATACTGAAATGAATGTTTGTCCTATAAATTCATGTATGCACCTTGATCCTCTTCAATCCTTAATATGAAAAGGCCTGA